TAATATATATGTATTTGAATATATATATATATATATATATATATATATTTCAATTGATTTTTTAATTAAAATCCAAATTTCCAACCGATTTCCATTGGAATTCCATTGGAATTTTTTTAAAATTTTCAAAAAAATTTCCAACCGGCATCCGTTGGAATTGTTTTCTAACGAATATCCGTTGGAATTCCGTTAAAAATTTGCCACCGATTTTTCCAACGTTAATCCGTTGAAAAGTTCCAACGGATATCCGTTGGAAATACCGTTGGAAATTTTCAACCCAATTTTTCAATTGAATACGTTGAAAATTCCGTTAAAAATTTCCAACGGGTGTTTCCAACGCATTTCTGTTGGAAATTTTCAACGGAATTTTAACGGAAATCGTCGTTGAAACGCCATTGAAAACCCCGGACAAATCCGTTGGAAAATCCGTTGGAATTCGAGGATTTTTTTGTAGTGGCGGAAGATGGCCTTCTTGTTCTGCAAATAAATAATCTTACTATTTCCTTCACGAGGTTTTGCGTTTTTTCCCCGATCCTAACGACTTTTCTTGCGTTTGAATATCAGTTCATAACAGTACCTGATTCACGTTATGATGAGATCAGATTGAGTCCAGATTTCATTATGGAATATATCTTCCCCGGTCGATGTGTCCCTTCTTTAGCTAAGGTAACATCTGCAATGGCTTCTTCATCAAGACTATGGTAAGTCTTCTTCTTTAGCAGATTGTTAAAAAACTTCACGCTCAATCGTCTTTATCCATAATCAATTCTTATATATGTTGGATACGCAGTGTCGAACACCTTGAAAACATCGGAATCCATTACTACAAGACTTTGAGATACTGGAGACAGAACTTCTTGGAGAGACAAGAGTAAGAAAAAAGAAAGACCGAATCTTTTCATACGTTTGATTCATTCGTTTGCTAACATGGAAGAAAACCGATATCTATGCAGACAAGTTAAAGCTCTCGGATTCGACGATAAATTCATGAGAAAGTGGGAATATTACTTGGAATACTTTGCTGTTGGTTTCAAGACTCTTACACTCGGAGACTACGAGGTAACAACGGAGCATTTATGCGATATATAACTTGATATGTGATAACGTATTTCGTGTTTTCACGGGTTGTAGGTGGTGTTTTCTCGTCCCGGAAACACAACTATGTTCGGAGATCCATAAATAAGCTTCCCTTCGGCTCGTTGTTCCTGCTCTTAAACTGAGAGCTATATGAACGTTTCGAGTTCTTTATCATCAATATATAACTACTCCACTCTTGCTTTTCCTGGTCTGTATAATTTGACGTATGAATAAGAGCTTTCATGAATGGCTCTGCTGTTTAAGGCAACAAGTGAGTGTTTACTGTGAATGTGATCCCATGTCTCTGGATGAATCTTGAACAGTTTCAGACAACATGTGTGTTAGATGTTGATAACATGTATATATTAGTATATTTTTGTATAATATATACATTGTATTTTACGATATTTATATGTTTATAAGCTTTGTCGTGTACAATTTTATTGCGATTTTGATATTTATATATTTTGCAGGAAAGAACGGAAAAGGAGCTTCGCCGAGATACTTTCATGGGAATCAAACGAAAACGGATGAACGCGAAAATCCTTTTGTAAAAAAAAAAGTATATATATTAGTGCGTAGGATAATATATATATGATATATGTGTATATAATATATAGTTTACAATTATATATAAATATATATAGTACGAACGCGCTTATATATATTTGTGTACACATATAATTATATGTATATAGTTTGCATGCGTGTGTATATATTATGCATGTGTATTAATAAATATATATATATATATATATATATGATATGCGTATATATGTATATATATACAATACGTAATACATATATAGATATAATATAATTATATATATATAAATTCATGATGCGTGCATATATAATATAAGTACAGTATACATACGTATTAATATATACATATATATATGACCGTGTATGCTTATATATTAATATATATTTATATTATACAATCATATATAAATATATGTATATGTACATATGGATATGTGTATTTGTATATAATTATATAGTATGCATAAAGTAACGCATGTATATATATAATTCGTATATACGTATATCATGCATATGTATTAATAAATATATAAATACACATATATGTGTAATGTGCATTAATATATACATATATACAAATGTGTATGCATAGGTATTAGTGTGTGTGTATAGATACGTAACATATGTATGTATGTTTATGCATGTGTATCTTTGTATATTTACTATGCATATAATTACATATAGTATGAATACATATATACATATATAGTATATAAGCGTATGTGATATGTGTAAATATATGTAGTATGCATGCGTACTAATTAATATATAAATGTGTGTACGCATATATGTATAATATATATACATATATATAATATATAATGCATATGTAGGAGACAAGAAATGCAAGAGACAAGACAAGACAACGTACGTGCATGTATATCATAAAGAAAAAAAGGAAAAAGCAAAAAGAAGAAGACATGATGGGATCCAAATTAGCCGCAACATCCGCTCCTTTTCGTGATTGATTGCACCAAAAAGAAGACATGTATTTTTATCACTCTTTAAAGGGAGTTACAAAGAGATTAGGAGAGAGCGAAATACGCATAAGGACGCAGGCCCTCTGTTTCAGATTGGAAGAAGACGCTGCAAATATTTCTGAGCATTTCTTATCCCTCTTTTTATTTATTTATGAATTTCCGTTCAATTGTTGTGGTTATTCCTGTATTTACCATGTTTTGTGGGTTAGGAATTTATGGGTTTGTAAGGATTATGTGTGTTTAATATTTCTCTGTAATCATGAACTCTGTGAATTGGTTTGAATGAGTGAATTTTAATATTGCAATTCTTGCTGGCCACTTGACTTGTAAATTCTAGGATTTAAATTTACATAGAAATATAAAATTCGAATCCGGAAACCATCCATTCGTTTAGGTGATTTTCCATCGAGAGGTGGTCATATCACTTAGGAATTATGATAGTAAACTTAATGCTCTTAGGAGTTTTACTCTATTTAGAACCGAGAGGTCGGTAGTTTAGAACTCGTAGGAAGTGAGGAGAGAGACTCGAGAGAGTAATCTCCTCTATAGAAAGAGCTTGAATTCCCCATATCACAATCATAGTCACTGAGATAAATCTGTAGAAATGATCCTTACCAACCCTTAAATTCCGATACTTGCAATGTTTTAATTAAATTATCTTGAAACCACTATCTGCATTTTCATCATTTTATAATCACCATCATCACCACTCAAAATTATCGTCTCGACCGAAATCGAGTAGAACCCGTAATTGTATTATTAATGTCCATGCGTCCCTGTGTTCGACCCAGTAGCGGACCCACACCAAATTTTAATTGAGGGCATAGATATATAATAATGTATATATATACCCAATAAAAAAAGAAATGGCATGAAAAAATCAATTATACAAAGACATATTTTTAACAACATTGGTGGCACGTGTCCCCATTGGTCATAACGTGGATCCGCCACTGGTTCGACCCTAGATACTGCGATTGACCCGTGCACTTGCGGTAGTTGAATCTAGAAAAATAAAACGAGATTAGATCACACCCTAGATTAACATCAGATGTGAATGTGATCTCATGTTTATGCGGATAAATCTTGGACAGTGTGTTAATGTGAATGCTATCCCATGTCTGATAAATCTTAATCCAACAAAATTGTTACCACATAATTTTAGATTTTTTTTTTCCAATTTTTAAAGAAATATAAAATACATATATACACACACTAAATTTTATAATGAAAAAATCATCTAAAAATATAAAATGATATGTATTAGTGACGGTGTACTCGACTTCAAATGGTTGTATTTTTTCCCTTTTTCCTTTCTTTTTCCCTTTATCAAGTTGATTAATTTTTCTAGTAGAATTAAATTTCGTATATTTAATTAAATTCCTTTGGAAAGTGGCAATATTAAAAATACGACATCAATCTAGCCGCCATCATTTTAAAATATACAATATGGTGTAGAAATACAGGCTGTCAAATATTCCGTTTTAGCTTCTGTATTATTGCTATTATTGGTCGTTTTTGTAAAGTCGACGGTTTCATCTCCATCTTTCAGGCTATCAAATCGGGAAAGTACATATGGCTCCGTCTTTTGTAGAAACAGCGGCCAGGGCTTTCGTCACCAGATTCATGGGGCAGTACATCTCAACCGGTTACGTGACGTAAGCACCGACACGAAACCTAAACTCAGTAGCTCTCCATATGAACGTTTTACGTTTTTCTCTCAACGTCAGATGCGTTTTCTTACCACGTGACCGAACGACAGTCTGGTAGAAGATGGAGGAACAACGTTCGAGTTCGGTGGGAAACATCCGAAATGCACCTTGAAATCCGTCATGAAGATCCACAGTCCTCAGTTTTACTGGAAGGTAAAGTACAAAGACCAAGTTGCTAAACCGTTCTTCCACCGCTCACTCAAGAATCGGATTCTTGATTTTACTGTCAGGTCATGACCGAGGCGGACATAGGCCTTGCGGATGCTTACATCAGTGGAGATATTTCGTTCGCTGACAAGGACGAAGGGCTCCTGAATTTGATCGTGGTAGATATATATATATATATATATATATATATATATATATATATATGAATGTTTGCGCGTTTGCATTTCTGTATTCTGATAAACGTCGTAATGTGTATGGGAAATATTTAATTTATTGTTGGCATTATATTATAAGTGAAAGTGGATTTTGATTATTCCTGATATTACATACTGGATATACTATAACAAGAATGTTGATTGGATTTCATAGCAAATACATGAATTTTTTTTTCTATATCTTTCACGCATAATAATAATTGTAACAATATAATAATTGCAAATATTTTTATAGAAAATCTGAGCTACCACTTAGACTAAAATATAGAGATAAGTATAAATAACATTTCGGTTTTGATCTTTCGCATGCAGATTCTCATAGCTAATAGAGATCTCAACTCATCGAAATCAAATCTTGCAGAGAAAAGGTAATGAATATTTCACCGAATGCGCTGTAAGCTCGGCGTGCTAATTTTGTCGTGTACTCGTCTGATCTTTGTAGGCGCTGGTGGAAACCGATGTTTTTCACTGCTGGTTTGGCGTCAGCAAAGTACTTTCTAAAGCATGTGTTTAGAAAGAACACCTTAACACAAGCTCGTAGGAACATTTCCGATCACTATGATTTGGTAAATTGTTCTTATAGATCCTTACTTACGTTTTCAATCTCGACGAACTTATTAGTACTCTCAGTTAGTATCATTTCTTGACCGGGGATCATTCACAGAGTAACGAGCTGTTTGCTCTATTTATGGACGAGACGATGGCATACTCGTGTGCGGTATTCAAGGTGACGAACTAAACTTCCATCGAATTTCTCTACTAAAAAAGCCTTCTCTTATTCGGGTTTTTACGCTTTTGCAGTCCGATGACGAGGATCTGAGAACAGCACAGACGAGAAAAATTTCTCTTCTGATTGATAAGGTAAGCAATCCTCGTGAAGAAACACAAAAGATAACGTTGTGCTATTACAACACACGGACAGAGTGTTCTTCTCATTTTTTTTTCATGTCATTATGGTAAAAAATTTCAGGCGAGAATTGAGAAGAACCACGAGGTTTTGGAGATCGGGTGCGGTTGGGGAACCTTAGCTATAGAAGTTGTAAGAAGAACTGGATGCAAATACACCGGCATTACCTTATCGATCGAACAACTTAAATACGCCGAAGCAAAGGTCAAAGAAGAAGGGCTTGAGGTGTGTAAAAAGCTGAAAAATGTTTTTTTTTTTTCAAATCACACAAGGAGAACAACCAACAAAGAAATTGCTAGAGAATTCAAATATAAAAATACAAAAATATAATCATTTATGTGTATATATATTGTATTATTAAATCCATTACTACAACTTGCTGAGCCGTCACAAACGATTTAGAGACCCTATACAAAATATTTTTTTATTTTTATAAAAATATTAAATAAGTTTTTTAATTATATTAATTGATAAATTTAATGTTAAAAAGTCACAAACTTAACTCAAAAACTGTAAATATTAATGATAATAATTACAAAATTTTATGTCAAATACAATTTTAATTAGTTATCATATGAATATTAATAAATATAATTACAAATTATTAGTATTTAAAAATCAATTTTTTTAAAATGTGGGGTCCATCAAATTGTGGAGCCCTATACCCTTCTCCTCTTGCACATGACTTTTTAAGGCTCCGACCTTGGGTACTCAGCTATCTACACCCGTCACACATAAATTATAATATCATAAGAGTTTACTACATAAAATTATCTAACGATGATGTCTTGGTTTCAGGATCGGATTACGTTTGAGCTCCGCGATTACCGTCAACTATCTGATTCGCGTAAATACGACAGGATTATATCTTGGTAATAATAAAGACCATATCTATGTTGTGTATAACCGGCCGATAGCTTAAAGCATGCTTAATGGAAAGATTATCGATGTTTCAGCGAGATGATAGAAGCGGTTGGGCATAAATTCATGGAGACGTTTTTCAACCGCTGTGAATCCGCGCTTGCGGAAGAGGGCTTACTTGTTCTGCAAGTAATCATTGTCTTCATTCTCTCACTTTTTCCTTCACGAATTTCTTTCTGTTTTTTCACGATCTTAACGACTTTTCTTACGCTTGCACATCAGTTTTCAGCGGTACCCGATTCACGTTACGACGAGTCTAGGTTGAGTCCAGGTTTCATTACGGAATATATCTTTCCCGGCGCATGCCATCCTTCTTTAGCCAGGGTAACATCTGCCATGGCTTCTTCATCAAGGTTGTGGTAAGTCTTCTTCTTTAACAGACTGCGAAAAAGCTTCACACGGAATCGTCTTTATAGATCGTTGAAACGCAGCATCGAACACGTTGAGAACATTGGGATCCATTACCACAAGACTCTAAGATGTTGGAGACAGAATTTCTTAAAGAGACAAGAGTAAGAAAGATGGGATCTTTTCGTTGTTCGTTCATTCCTTCTCTGTATCCAACACGTTCACCCGTTTTCTTACATGGTAAAAACCGATACCCATGCAGAGAAGTCAAGGCTATCGGATTCGACGAGAAATTCATCAGAAAGTGGGAATATTACTTCGACTACTGCGCAGCTGGTTTCAAAACACTTGCACTTGAAGTCTACCAGGTAAAGCACCTACAGTGACATGATATGCAAGAAACAAGCATTTCTGAGACACGTAAACTTGATATCGGGTAACATATTTCGTTGTTTTCGCTGGTTGTAGGTGGTGTTTTCTCGTCCCGGAAACACGACAATGTTCGGAGATCCGTACATGAGCTACCCTTCTGCTCGTTGTTCCTGCCCTTAAACCGAGAGCTACATGAACGTTTCGGGTTCTTTATCATCAATACATAAATACTTCACTCTTGCTTTTCCTGGTCCTGTATAATTTGTTTTGTTGTATGAATAAGAGCTTTCATGATTAATGGCTCTGCGGCTGTGTTTAACACAACAAGTGAGTGTTTACTGTCAATGTGATTCCATGTATCTTGATGAATCTTGAACACTTCCAGACAACATGTGAGTGTTAAATGTGAACGTGATACCATGTCTCTGCGGATAAATCTTGGACAGTGTGTTAATGTGAATGCTATCACATGTCTGATACGTCTCAATCCAACAAAATTATTACCACATAATTTTAGATTTTTTTCCTTCAATTTAAAAAAAAAAATCAGATATACCTTGAGTTATATATTTTTAATTAAGGGTGGAATTTAAAATTTTCTTAAAAAATCATTTAAAAAAAACTAATATGACATGTATTAGGGATGGAGTACTAAGACTTCAAATTGTTATATTTTTTTTCCTTCTTTCTTTTTTCTCTTTTATCAAGTTAATTAATTTTCCTAGTGGAAACGAATTTCGTGTTTTTTTTTAAATTAAATTCCCTTGGGAAGTGGAAATATTAAAGACAAGAAATCAATCTTGCCGACAACATTTTAAAATATATGATGTGGAGTAGAATACAGCTGCCGAATATAAATTTATGCGGGGTTCGCATATTAATAAATTGTTTTCAGAGATCATCTTTATTAGGAAAAAAAAGAGTTGTTATATTAATAATTGCTCATAATGCGATTTCATTACGTATTATATTACAATATCACATCTCAATTAAGGCATTTGAATATTAACTACAGATACGTACACTCCTCTAATTCTATCTTTTAGCGTTTGATATGAACTTCTCAACATGTCTTCTTTGGCTCGAAAAGTTTAGAAATCAGAACGTCAATAAAATACCTTATGCGTCGGATAAATTATTTTACAGAAAGAACATTGAATTTAAATAAAAAAAATTTTATATTGCTTATTATGGAGTGCGTAGGCCCAATTTACACGTAGATTGGACCTACGGAGCCTTTCTATTTTTGGTACTTATCAACTTCGTGGGATTAATTACGTAACGAGCCTTTAACTTCTTGGATATATATATTTATATATTTATGGAAGGGACCGAACCAGTCTCGATCCAAATAGAGAAAGAGGAACGACACGTGTTAGGTTTTGGGATTTGGCTAATCAACTTGTTTGGAAACCATCTGAAAATTTCATTCCACTTGTAATAAACTAAGAAAATAGGAAATCATTGTGGAATTTTCCTACGAAATATTATAAAAATAGTTCAAAATTCAAGAATGCATCTCATTGGCAAATAAGAGAGCTTCTTCTTCTTCTTTTTTTTCCTTAGTTTTTTTTTTTTTTGCGTGGGCATATGAACGAAGAGATGAGGGTTGCAGTGATAGGAGGAGGAACAAGTACTGGATTGGCGTCTGCTTATGTTCTTGCAAGAGAAGGGCTCGGGGTAGTCTTGTACGAGGAAGAACACTGTCTCGGAGGCAATGCCAACGACACGATTCGCGTTGATGGTGCTGACGTGGACCTCGGGCTCATCCTCTTCAATCCCGTAAGTCTTTAGTGAATTGTTTCGGCTCTTCAGAGTTTCAATTCGTATAGAGTTTAGATATCATACGAAAATGAAATTCTTCGTAGGCAATATGTCCGAACATGATGGAGTTCTTCGAGGATCTTGGACTGGACATGGAGGTTTCAGACATGTCTCTATCAGTGAGCCTTGACAGTGGCGGAGGAACTGAATGGGGAACCCTAAACGGCTTCTCGAGCTTGTTCGCTCAAAAGAGTAACGTTCTTAATCCCTTTTTCTGGAAAATGATCAGAGAAATCGCCAAGTTTAAGGATGATGCATCGATATACGTCGACGAACGTGAGCGTGACCGTGATCTCGATCGAACCGAGACGTTGGGGCAATTCCTCAGGTCCTATGGCTACTCTGAGTTGTTCCAGAAAGCTTATCTGGTGAGTTCTTCTTCGCGGGTTTTGACCCATATTCCCTTGCGTTTGCTTGCTTGCTTGCATGACAAGGAAAGTGACCGTGTTTTCGGGACAGGTACCGATATGTGGCTCGATATGGTCACGCCCATCAGACGATGTCTCGAGCTTCTCCGCCTTATCCGTTCTTTCGTTCTTCCGGAACAATCATCTGCTTCAGGTGAGAGAGAGAGAGATCACACGTCTTTGCCAGCACGTTTGGTTTCTCTGTTGCTTCTTGACTTAATCCGTCGTTTTCATTTCAGATCTTTGGAAGGCCGCAATGGCTGACTGTCGCAGGACGTTCCCGAACATATGTTGCAAAGGTACATAACATGGTTACATGCATGGACCTTCTCGAACATTTCGCATATGTAATCGTATCTCTTACGTATACTGCATATGTACGGACGGATCAGATTAGGACAGAACTGGAACAACGAGGATGCAAAATCAGAACAAGGCGTGAAGTACAGTGGGTTACCACTTCTGTTAATAATGGTCTCTCCCCACCTCCTCTCCCCCCCCCCCCCCTTT